AAATTTTCATAGAAGACTTGGCATGGTGGTTCATACCTGTAATCCCAGCAGTTTTGGGAGGCCAAGACAGGAGGAAGCTTGAGGCCAGGGTGTGAGACTAGCCCTGGCAACATAGGGAGACTCTGTTTCTAAGAAAACGTACCAAGCCAGAAGGTTTTATATAGAAAAGAAAGTGTGTAGTCCCCTTTGTTCCCGGAAGGCAGCTGGAAAGTCACTTTAGTATGAATTTGAAGCCCACCAATGTTTAGAGCAGAGCTGAAACTAACAGCAACCAGGTCCTTGGTGACTTGTTGAATTACTGAATTAACCAATCTCAAAGTCTACCCTGTGTTTGGGCTTTCTGTTATGTGAGATAATCAACTTCATACTGTTTGAGAAGACACTTGGACTCAGGTTTTATATTTCTTGCATAATCCCAACTGACCCAAAGATACTTGGCCTCCCCAGTGAGGGCAGCCATACTCACTGTGGCAGTAGGAAAGTTACCCTATTGGCCTGGAAAAAACAAGCACTGAGACTGTTTTGAGAGTTGAAAATGAAAATTTGCCAACTACTGTCAGAGTGAATACTCAAGTGTGGAAAGAGCAGGGGATGGAGGTGGAGTGGGGACATGTTTGCATGGAGCAGACACTGAGTGCAAACTCACAGTGGCCCTAGCTGCTGGGAAGAAGGCTGAGCACCAGTCTGTGTTACAGAGGGAGAGAGTCTGGCTGCCTGTCACTATTTGCCAGTATGCACAGGTGGGATAGGTCCATCAAATTTTATTTGTCAGAAGGCCAACAATTTTGGAGAACAGTGAGAACAGCCTCTCTAAGACTGTTCTGTTCTTCCATTTTCCAAAAATCACAATTTGATACATAAAAGTTAAAAACAAGAACCATGCTAACTGTTATCTTAAACAACAGTAATTAACACTTAAACAACAGTAATCATCATAACTCACAACCCATAATAAACAATAATTGACATAACTCATGACCCAAAACAACATTTCTAATTTAAAAGTTAATCTGGGCTCAGTGCCTGTAGTTCAGCAGCTAGGGCACTGGCCACATACACCAGGGCTGGCAGGTTCGAAACCCAGCCCGGGCCTGCCAAACAACAATGACAACAACAACAACAATAACAACAAATAGCCAGGCATTGTGGTGGGCACCTTTAGTTCCAGCTACTTGGGAGGCTGAGGCAAGAGAATTGCTTATGCCCAAGAGTTTGAGGTTGCTGTGATGCCACAGCACTCTACTAAGGACAACATAGTGAAACTCTGTCTCAAAAGAAAAAAAAATTAAGCTAGATTCAAGAAACCCAAGGTCTGGGAGAGTAAGGGGAAAGAGAAGGAATGATCAAACTAATCTTAACCCAGGAAAGGATGGTATCCTGGAAACCAGGAGAAGAATGCTTTCCTGATACTTCAAAAGCCTCTGATAATTCAATAAGCCTGTTATCTGGAAACATTTTTTAATGATAAGAAAATATTTATTTTATTTTTCATATTTTGAACAAAATCAGAGCAATGAAATTGAAGTTTGGAATACAGACTTTAATGATATAAAGCCATATGCTGCTGAGAATTTTTTAAGCTTTTTTTAAAATTAAATCACAGCTGTGTACATTAATACAGACATGGGGTACAGTGTGCTGTTTTTATATACAATTTGAAATATTTTCATCAAACTGGTTAACATAGCCTTCATGTCATTTTCTTAGTTATTATGTTAAAACGTTTATATTCTACATTTAGAAAGATTCACGTGTACTATTATAAGGTGAACCATAGGTGTGATCCCACCAATCACCCTCCCTCTACCCTCCCCCCTCATTCTTCTTAGCAAAGTATCTCAAGAATGGAAGAAAAAGTATCCAATGTACTCAGCCCTAGTATGAAACTAATTTATAGCTTTCATAGGAAAGCTATAATCCAATTATAGCCCAAGAATATGGGGAAAAGGGAGAGGAAGGGAATTTTTTTATCTTTAAAATCAAACTGAGCTGCTAGGAGAAAAGACCCAAAGCAAAACAATAATGGACCTAAACCAGCAAAGGTTAGATCTCATTATACAGAAACCAGCTATGCCTTGGGATCAAAATCCAGAGCAATGAAATAGGAATTGTAGTGAAGAGAAAGGAAAGTGAAAGGAGAAATGGAGAGAAGAGACAAGAGGACAAGGAAAGGGAGGAGAAAAAAAGAGGAAGTAGAAAAGGAATTGGAAGAGGAGCAGAAAAAAGAAAAGAAAGAGAAAAATGAAGAATGATATCCCAGGAAAAGATTAGTCAGCAAATCTCTCATGGACACTCTGTGAAAAGTTTAAGTTAAACAAATACCTCACAAATACAAGATAGTCTTTCCCTCTCATTTGACAAATAACAGATAAATCAATAGTTTTGTAAAAAGAGGAAGAAATGCTATGAAGAAATGTCCAAGTAAAGTATAACAAAAGACACAAGGGAAAGCAGAACAGAACACTGAGTGTTGGTTGTTAACTCTTCTTGGCAGAGTTTAGCAAAGACCATCACAATGCCAATCACCAGGAACAGAAGTTCACACCCTTCTGACTGTTGACCTTCTATGTTGACCCATAGCTGCACAAAATAACATAGTCA